TGTACTCATTATATGCCAAAGTCCAACATATTTATGTGTAAATATATATTTCTCAATTTTTCTTCCTAACTCTAACCTTGGATATCTAGATAACTACACAGTTACATATTAGTTCAAATTGAAATACTGATATTTCTTCAGTCTATGTTCTTGTCACCTACACCTATTTCAGTAACTGATAGCTTGTCCATTTAGACACCGTTACAAGAAACTTCTGAATTGTTCTAGCTACACTTTCTCTATGCTGTAGGCTAAATGTTTGTGTGCCTGCACTATTTATGTACTGAAATATAATCCTCAGTATGAATCTGTTTGGAGATCTTTAGAGTTTAGGTCATGAGAGTGAAATTCTCATGAATGGGATTAAGATAATTATAAAAGAGACTTCCAAGCGTCTCTGTCTCTTCAACCATGTGAAAACACAGTGAAATGATGGAGTGTACAAAGAAGGTTACCAGATACTGAATCAGCTGATGCTTTGATCTTGCTCTTCAAGATGTTAGAGCTGTGAGAAATAAATTTCTATTCCTTATAATCCACCAAGTTTAAAAGATTTGTTATAGTAGTCCCCAGAGTCAGCTTTTAAACAAGTGAAAAAATACCTGAGAAAAACAACTTCAAGGAAAAAGGATTTCTTTTGGTTCACAGGGTTCAGTCCATGGTCAGCTGCCCGCATTACTCTTAGGCCTGTGGTGAGGCAGAAATATCATGGCAGAACCTTGTGGCAGAGGAAAGCTGTTCACATCATGGCAGCCGGGAAGCAGAGAGAAAGGGGAGGTGGTACAGGGTGAAGGTGTCATTAGTTACCTTCTTCCTGCAATGAGGCCCCACCTTCCAACAGCCCATTCAGTTGTGAACTCACTGATACTCAATCCATTGACACGGTCACTGCTATCATGCTCCGGTCACCTCTCTGGGGCCTACCTCAAAGCATTGCTGACTTGAGGATCAAGCCTTCAACAACCGAGTCTAAGGGAGATGCATATTTAAACCAAATTCAACCTAGCAAGAAATCTTATTTGTTCTGGCTCATAAGTAGATCTGCAGGTCTGGCTACCTAATTTACTACTGTTGCCTGGGAAATGACTGCTATCACCTCTCAGCTAGACTATGGCGTTAGCTTTTCAAGTGGTGTTTTCATTCCACTCTTGTCACTTTCCAGTTCATTCTCAACATAAGAGTTACAATGAGCTTTTGAAAATTTCCTTACCTAAAACATTTGATGGCTTCCACTGAGGTTTGAAAAACATCCAAAAGTCTCTATTATTGCCTTGGGGCCTTGCATAGTTGTCTTCCTGCTGACTTTTAAAGTTTAACCTCCCTCCTTTTCTGTCTTTCACCTTTCCTTCTGGCTTTAGCCATGTTGGACTTTTTCTGAGCTCCTCAAACATGACGTGTCTTTTTGCCAGCTTGTTTCTTCTGCTTGAAGAATGTTCATCCAAACTTTCTATCCGGTTAACTTCTATTCAACTCAGGTCTCAGCCATGGTGTCACATCCTTAAAAAGGAATTCATTACATGCTTCCCTCCTCCTAATATCCCCAGACTTCTCAGTGTACTTCAGTGCCAACAGTTAATCTGTTGTCTTTCAGTATCTTCCAGCTCCAAACTTACTACTTAATATATGCTCTGCAGTAATTTACTAAATTCCTTTATGTAGTTCTCCTTCACTGTGAGCGTGGTGCTAAGATTTCTCAGTAGAGGGCACTAGAGGAACGCTGCAGGGGGAAGGGACGCTCATGCTCTTTCCAGCAGCAGCAAGGTAGGGCCGCAGTTCTCAGTGCAGGTGTGTGGACAGGGAGTTCTTTGTCCCAGTCACGCACCAGCCTACATTGTCTCCCTGAGACCCGGTGCCCCCAGAGTACTGCCGTGATTACGTTCCTGTGACTGTGTCTACTTGGACCTCTTCTGCTCCAGGTTTCCTGCCCACCCTAATGTGTTGATTCTCTCTGTATTGTTCCCTCCTTCCCTGGGTTTTCCTCTTACAGTCCTTTCCATACCACTTCCTGACAGGACTTTTTGCACAAAGACACCTGAGCCTCCAGACCTCCTGCCTCAGGAGCATCCTTCTCCCCATTGCATACCTGTACACCAGCTGAGTTTAGCAGCCCTGTCCTCCCCGCCCACCCCAGCACTGCTTCCTGTATGTCCTGCAGACTGGCTCTGGCCTCCAAAGCAGTGAGTTCCTCTGCCTCGCAGTGGATTGAACTGTTTTTTTCCAATGAGGTCCCCATCCTTAGAGAATCATCCCCCTTCCAAATTTGTCTTTCCTTGCATATGTTCTCCTGTTGCTGTACAGCTTTATGTTGTTATTCTTTTATCATTATTACTAAATACTTTTTATTAAGCTTCCCCTGTTTAAAGCACTATGCGATTATCTTAATTGAGTGTAGACTGCTACAGTTCTCTTCTACATTACTGTAATTTCACTTATAGTACTAATCACAATTGCATATTTATTTGCAAATCTATTCTTTAATATTAGTCTCCTCCATGGAACTATAAGCACAAACAGGGCAGGCATAGGGTCTGTTTTGTTGCCTTCCCAGTGCTTGCATAATGCTTGGCTTATAAGAAGACTCAGTAAATTCTTGTTGCCTGAATGAATACTCTTATGGCTGAGTTCATTTTCTGCTAATTTATTCTGTTATGTTCTTCTTATGCCCCATTAACTCTTCTCAGTCATTGCTATCTATTTTAAAGATCAGACGTAATGTATTCTGGAGTCTGTAGCACTACAAGGGATTTGATTTTTGTTCTCCATAAACAAAATAAGCTGTAATTTTACATTCTACCATCTCTACATTATAACCTATTGTAGCAATGATGGTCACAATTTCAGTTGCTCTTGATACTTTTTTCCTACCTGCATCCACATCATAAGATCCAAATTTCTTTTGCAAAGAAGACATAGGTGATTTAAAAAAATATTTAACTCCAATTACTATTACTACTATGGTTGCTCACATAAATTCCACTCCAGGATTTAAATCACCACAGTACCTAATGGATAATTCAAATGACTGGGCTCAGTGTAAGGAAATGAGGAAAACTGAAGATTATGGTCAATTGTACAGCATATTTCACCTGAATGCATTTAATTAAAAATTTTATCAAAACACCATGCAAGCCAAACAAAACAAGGACAGGCAGCACTGGTCTCATGTCTGCTACCTGGCAGACCCAGGTCTCTGGCAGGACCAGGGATTTTGAAATGAGGAGTGCTGGACTTCAACTTCTTTTTACCCATTTATTTTGCCAAAGAAGGTATTAAACTGTGGCATTTACTATTATCACTATTTTATAAAAGGAAACAAAATTATCAAAAACCAGGAAGGACACAGTCTCAGGCTACTGATCTCAAGAAAGAATAATTGTCAAAATTACATTATTGTCTTTTATGTCTCCTGACTATAGACAGAGAAAAACTTTGTTATGATACCCACCCAAAGCTTAAACACACACACACACACACACACACACACACACACACACAATATCCAATACCTGATTCTTGGGGGCTCAGAAATATAAGCACAGAAGATGCTTTTCATATGTACTTTGGAAAACTCCAGGGCTTCTGAAACACAACCAGGCTGAAACTTCTGGTCTGTGCCACTCTCAACACTGAGAAAGCAGAAACCAAGGGCAAAGCATTGTTTCTCATCCTGATTAGAGAGAATCTTATTTTCCTGCACTGATGAGAGACAAAGTTTTTCAAAGTAGCTGTATGGCTCACACCGCCCCAGGAGGCAGAGCATCTCACGGTTTGTGCCATAAATAAGAGATCCATATTGTGGGAATGGAGAGTCTTCATAATAATTCAGTATGCAAAAAAAAAAAATCATTATTTGCTTTGCAATGAGTTGATTTCTTCATTGACCAGTTCCAGAAAGGAACCAAGGCTGTTTAATACATGTCTGCGTGTGTGTGTACGTGTGTGTGGTATGTGTGTCTGTGTCTGTGTATGTGCGTGTAGCTTAAAGTCAAGAAACTAGGGCAATATAAAATAAAAATAGAGAAAAGGTTCTATCACAAATGAGGTAAATAATCAAATTCCTGCTTTAAACCCTGATTAGGGGTAGATCGCAAATGTGATCCAAGTGAAGCCAACAGGGTGAAAGACAGGTGCTTTTGTTAGGTGGGAGAGGGTAAGTGCTCCCGGTGGGAAGGAGTCTATTCAGCTCCTGCCAACTGTTGCTAGGAAAATTTCCAAGAGAAATTGGAAATTGAGATTTCTATGTGAAATCTCTGTTTCTACTGTGGTTGCATCTGTCTGATTTAAAAATTGAGACACTGCAATAGCCCACTGCATAGAGCTGAGAAAACACTTGTGCTGAAAAAAAAAAAGTGAAGTGTGCATTAGAATCATTAGAAGAGCTTTTCCCAAAATACACAGTCCTAGGCCCCAGCCCGGAGCGCCAAATTAGAAACATCTGGGAGTGGGGCTGAGTCTGCATATTTTGAGAGTGTTCCCGAGGTGATTCCATCTCCCGTCTGTAGTTAGAAATCAGTGCCGTCAAAGAAGAGGAAAAATGAACCGAGACAGTCCAGGCCACTTACCTGTGCTAGGCCGCAGGAGCCCTGATAACATCCACGTCCTGCCACCCAGGGAAGAGTGCCCAGACACTCAGTCCCCTCAAGCTCTGCTGTGCCTAAGGCCCGCCTTGATTTCTCTAGGGTTCTGGGTATTTACTTTGGTTCTTACTCTCTTGGCTTTTATAAAAATGTTTTCACAGAGGATCTGAAAATAGGAAGAATGAGACAGAAAGTTCTGTCAGCCTTGATTTATGCAGGAGCCGAGAAAATAAATTACAATTCTGTGAGCTTTTGAAGATGGAAAATTTCCCGAGGAGTCGCAGGAGAGAACAGTGTTTTCAGCCTTCTGCAACATAGTGCCTTTCAGAACAACGCTTAAGACATGGAGCAGATCACTGAATTGAACTTCCCAAGGTTTCTAGATCTTTCTCAGGCCAGGCCCCACGCCTTCTCTGACTTTACCTTTTTATGTTTATAATAGTGGAGGCTGTCATGCCTCAGCATAAACCACCTCTTCCTCCAACCCCTCATGAAGCCCGAGTGCTTCCCCTTGTGCAGATAACCACGGCAGGTTGGCCACGGGGTATTGGGACAGTGGCTGATGTCAGATCCCGCCACTAGAGTCAAGATTTCTGGACCTAGAAGCATGAATTTGGGATGGATTCAGTGGCTAAAATCCTTACAGTCACCTGCAAGGGTGATATTCAGAAGGCAGAGAGGAAGAAAAGCTACAGTTTCTAGAAACAGAATAAAACAGAATCCTATCAGTCGAATAAAGCAAATTCCTTAGTGATTTCAACTGTCATGTCTATGAGGAAAATTAAACCTGAAGAGGCAAAGTGACTTCCCTGAGGGCTCACAGCTCAGTAGGTTATAACCTCACAGACAACTCTCAACTCATGTTGAGTTTAAATCTGAGTTTCCACATTCTGTCTTCTCCTACTATTCATCCTTCAGTGCCTGGACTTAGTGGCCTTTGCTTTACCACAGGAATGGTATGTCATGTAGCTTAGGGAAACTTCCTGCTCCTGTGAATATGAGGTCACTGTTTACCCATTTGTTTTGATGCAGCCAGCACAGATAGATTTTTATCGTACACCCACCCTGTGATGCCGCAAGACAACTCGTTGAATGTCACTCAGACAGATAGCAACCCTGACATGCTTTGAAGACTGCAAATGGGGTATGACTTCATTTACAATCCCTCCGAGAGGGAGGCCACATCCCGGGAGGGGGACATTTGGCCTTGGCAGCGCTGACTTCATCATGATGTCTGACATTGAGATTGCCGATCTGTTTAGAGCTGTCTATGGAAATGGGGGTCAGCGAGGAGACTCCTCTTCTATAAATGACAATCTCCAACCCAGGGGATCATTCCTGGCTGAGCCACATGGCCCTGAAAATAAAAATTTGTCCCAGAAAGGCTGACACACTCTCAACTTTAGCAGCACACAAAGCACCTTGGTAATTAAATAACTCTCAATGTGTCAAGATAATTCTTCATTGCCATGTAAATACATTTTAATTTATTGAACTGCCCTTAAGCTCCTGTCAAAAACACATCCAGAAAAATTAGAAGAAATGCTCCAGATTGACCGAAAACCCACAAATGTCTTTGTCTTTGGACTTCAGTCCCCAAAGAACTGAACTGTTGGACTAATATGCGTAGTTGACACATCTGCCAATTTATTTATGCACTGTTGCCGGGGGCTGCCCCTTGAGGTCTTTCTCCTCTTGCTTACACCGACTGCATATGGGTTTCTGTGATACTGATCAGGGGGAGCTTGTGTTTCGGCCTGGTCATAAACACAACTTGATGCACCACAAAAATTCTCTCTGGGGCAGGCCTACAGATGGCCTTGTTGCAGCTCGGTGTCCTCATATTAGGGGAAAGTTTTTCATATTCAGAGTTAGGACAGGAGCCTGCTGCATGGGGACTTACTGAGTTCCTAACAGCTGTCAAGCAGTGGTGTTCCTCTCTTTATCCCAGTTCCAGGCTGCAGCTCAGAAGATTTGGATCTGATACTCACAGAGAAGCGTGATTTGAGACTTTAGGCTTTTAATGTTAGCTTCACATGAGGTATAGTCATTTGATTTTTATGTGGCTGTCTTTAAAGAACCAAATAGCTAAGTACACACATTAAAAACCGCATCATTTTGGTTTATATTTATTAAATTACTAGGACCCTAAAATTAGAAAGTGTCTTAATTCAAAGCTTCACAAACTGAATGTGAATGCAAATCAGCCATTGGTTTGTTAAACTCTACATCCTCATTCAGTGGGTTTGGCATGAGTTTGAGATTCTATATTTGCAACAAGTTCTCAGGCTATGTTTATTCACAATTGGAGTCACAAGTGCCCAGATGCCTCTTAATTTCCAAAGGATCTCTTGCTTAGCTCTATCTTGCCACCAACTATCATATTTGTTTCTTTCCCTGACACCCATATAGCTTCTCCCCATGCTTTCATTTTAAGCCCCAATAATTCCCACCAACATTATCAGCTGCCCTGAAATTCCTTCCTTTTTCTATGTATCTTCTCATCCTGGAGAAGGGAAACACAAAATCACCACCTTCCTCTAACTGGACACCTTGCTTGCCTTTGGCTGGTAGGTAAGATTGGGGTACAGGAAGGTGAACTGCTACAGACCGAGGCAGAAGCACCAAGTAAATTATTAGTCTCATGGGACAAGAGTTTGGAAATCAACTCTTTAGCAAACTCAGTTCTTTGGTGATGATGCCCTTCGAAGCAAAAGCTATTTAGCAAACTCCTCTTCCCTAGCACTTTGGCCTAGAGTTTTGGAAGGAAGGCATTGTGGTGATGTTATTTACAGCTTGAGGAAAGAGAAAAATAATTTCTTTTTCTAATTCACACTTTCTCCTTGGCTCACCGTCTTCTTATTATGCCACCAATCTTAAACTGTGCCACAGTCACACCTCTGCTGTCAGACAAGCTCTTCCAGGCTTGCATGCGTGGATGAGCAACGTGCTAGACGCATGCTGTCCCCGAGGGCTTGCACTGTGTCGCGTAGTGAGGACGCTCACTCCAGAGGCATTTTGTGTTTGATTTTTAGTAAAATCTACACTGGTAAAACAAAGATGCCTAATGGAGGTAAAAGACTTCCTGGCTGATTAAGCTTTACAATATTCCTTTACTGTCTTTAGTTGTGATAAAAATCTCCTACTTGAGGCTGAAAATAACCAGCCCTATAAAAGGCAAAACCAGAAAGTAAGGGAGACTTAATTAAAACAAAGATTCACACAGAGATATTGCCATTCACAGAGAGACAATGAGTATTTATTTAAAAATCTGTCTTGATTTTCTCAAGAACAAAATAAAGGTAATTTGTACAGTCGTGTGTTATTAATAGTATTGAATAGTGATACTAATTATAAAATTAGACTTTGCAATAGTCAGTGACTGACTCCCCTTTTGCAGATAAGGCGACACTAGTATTGGAGGCTACAAAAGCAGCCTCTGATCCTCGGAGTGTGACTGGCCATGTCTCTAAGATGCCAGGGTGGTTCTGAAAGGAGCACCACAGATAGCTGATTAGCACTGTGAGTGTACAGGCCACCACTCTGAATTCCTGTTTAAAAGAGTCTCCTGCTAAGTGTGACATACAGCTAGATTTAGGATTCGATATTATGTGAAATGTGATTTGAAGTTCATAAATCTAAATCAGTTTCATGGTCACATATATTCTTCTAAGAGACCCACTGCTGCTCAACAGTCCTGTCTTGTTTTGCTTCCTTCTGCCTTCTTGCACCATTCCTGACCATAAATTTTAGGACACACATGGAGTTGATGTTTTGTATGCTGGGTCTCGGTTCAGGAGGAATTCATTTATTGCTGTAAGACTCCAGGGCAGAGAGCTGATCTTGGCACATGAATATCTTTGACTGCCAGGCCCCTTTTTGTTGTGTTTTCCTTTATTTTCTCATCCAGTCGTCCACACTCACAATCGGCATGCATAAAATCTCTTTGATCAGGAATGTGACGACACTATGTCAAGCAGGCCTTGTTTTTTCATACATGGTATGATCTAAGATCTCTTTCTATTTTCAGAGTCACTTTTTCCTTTGTTTCTTTCTTTCTCACCCCGCTTTTTTCCTCCCCCTTGTTTCTGAGCAACAGCAGTGTTTATAGAAATCCATCCTTGGCACTGGCTGGGTGTGCACAGCTCACACTTGTGTTGAGGCGCTGAGATGCCGAGTTTGTATCATGGCTCACTTCTCCATTTCTTTAGTGGTGGTCACCCAGACGGCCTCTAATTTTTTTAATTCATTAAATTTATTGATACATTTTAAGTACACAGTATGATGACATTCATCATTGGGAATTTGTACCTTTACACGATACATCTTGGTTCTAATGTTTTTCCCCGTTCCCCTGCTCTCCCTTCAACCCCTCCACCCCTCCCTACTAACAAAGACTTTGTTTCCATATTTTCCTTTTCTCATATTTATTGCTTTCCTTTCCCCTATCCCTCTCACTTCTCCTTCCCCTTTGGGCCTTATCTTCCTAGTTCATATTATCCATTATACATTTTGATCCTTATTTGCACTTTTGGTTTCTCACACTAGAGAAACTATTTGGTATTTACACGTGTATCCTATTTACTTCACTTAAGAGTATGGAGTCAATGTGCATCCATTCGACTATAAATGTTTCTAGCTCTCATTCTTTATGGCTGAGTAGTACTCCATTTTATATTAAAAAAAAAACACATCTTCTTTATCCACTCACCAGTTGATGGGCAATTGGGCTGTTTCCAAGTTTTATTGATTACATACTGTGCCGCTATAAACATGGGTGCCTCTAATTTCTTTTTACTGCATAGAACATGGCAACACATGTCCTAGTATATGTCTCTTCAGTAGTTTTTTGGGTTTATCTGCCCAAGTACAACTACTAGGATATAATATTTATGGGTACTTCACTAGGAACTGCCATATTGCTCTCTAAAATGCCTACATCCCAAGAGAAATAGAGGATTCATATTTACTTATCCTTACATCCTTGTCAAAGCTGACTAGTATCTGATCTTTTTTTCCTTTTAATCTAGTGGGACATGAATATCATTTTTTGTTGATAATTTGCATTTCTTTGATTACTAATAAAGTTATTCTCCTAGTTTCTTTTATTAACATTTCTTTTAACTTGCAAATGAGGTCTTTCACGGAGCTGAAGTCCACTTTTATATTTAGTATAAATCTTAAGGCATAATGTATGAACACAGCTAATTTTTGTACAACACATAAAAGATATTGAAAATTTTCTCCTTTCCCCCTTTGTTTTGTAGCGCCACCTTTCTCATATCTAAACTTTAAATAAATATTTGAGTATGCTTTTGAACTTTCTAGTTCTTTCCATTTCATTTGTGTATTATCCGTTTCTGTGGAAGAACCCCACTTTCTGTCTATTACTGTGGGTTTTTAATATACCTGAATATCTAGTATGATATATTTCTTCACTGTTGCTTGTCCTATTCACAAACTAGCTATTTATTATTCTATATATTTGAATATAAGCATGACAAGCTACTCAAAAAACTACATAAAATTTTATTGGACTACTGCTGAAATTTTAAGAGATTTAAGATAATTACAGATTTTCCCATCCATAAAAATATTC